TTTAGGGTTGAGGGTTTCGGGTTGGGGGCTTAGAAATGAACCAGAAAATGGAAAGGATTCTATTGGAGATTGTACAGGCGCTGCTCTGGAGATGCAGTCCTCAATTCCCTACTAACAAGCAGCAAGTTAATCAAAGGGTCTACGGTTCAGGGTTTAGGGCCTACACCTATACCAGGCAGGTATCTGATCAGACCTTCAACCCTAAACCGTAGAGTTGCAGTACATGATTTGTAACCACTTCAACGCCCTCTTTTTCGGGGGTGGCTATAAGAAAGGGTCTAGGTTGCAATGTTTAGGGGAAAGGGTTTAGGTTTAACAAAGCTACTCTAGGTAGCCTGAGGTAACTTCAGCTTAGATGCCAACTCTCCCCCAAGTTCCAAACTCACCCTGAACCTCGAACTCTTCAAGCCAGCGCCCTCGTGCCTGAACCCTGGCCCTGTAATGGGGGTCATGTTAAGGGCTATATAGAACCATAATCTTAACATTCTCCGGCTGTTACAAAGTTGGGGCAGGGACGATACACTTGCCACTAAACTGTGTGTATTATTCGGCTGCAGGTGAAGCCCCAATTCCCAAAGCCCCGAGTTGCGTCCAAGAAGCCGCCCCCATTTTCGGGTGAGCTATTGCGGACCGATCGACGAGCTGCCTCACAAGCAACGTGCACAAAAATAAGGGCTTGCCTGAGGTGCATACGCAGTTTGGGGTTTACAGGATAGCCTCGTATTCCTCGACCCTTAAACGTCTTGCCAACCTGCTGCAACACCAAGCATTATCAATAGGCTTGTCTTGGGGAGGTACTTTACCACCCAAAACCCGAAACCCTATAATTTCTAGCAAAAGGGCTGGGTTATGGGTGTAGCTCCAAAGGGCCCTTTTGGTTATAGATCATCTTACGGCACCTACTATTTAGGCGTACCCCAAATGGGACCCTCATTTTGGGAAGTAAGTACCGATGGGGTCTCGAGAAACATGGGGGGTCCTCAGCGGCCCGAGGTCTGTAGACGGATCATTAAGAGGGTTTAGGGTTTAGGGTTTATGGCTTAGGGTTTAGGGTTTAGGGTTGACAAGTTTACGGCTTAGGGTTTAGGGTTTAGGGTTTGCGGCTTAGGGGTTAGGGCTTTGGTTAGCAAGCGAATGAAGGAATGGATCCTTACAATTGTCGTCTCTATAGAATCCTCAATAATGTAATAATTGCCATTGTCTTGCGTATTCCTTCGTTCCCTGCATTCCAGGCGTAAGCTATAGGGGTTCCCGCTAAGGACATTAAGGACAATAGAGTGGCTTTCTTATGAGCTCCCAAATTTCCGTCCTGCACCACAAAACATGCGTTGCACTAAGTAGGCTGTGAATAGGTGTAACACTCATGTTGACACCACAGAAAACACAAACTGGTTGCTGGAAAGCCCAGCCTAGGAATATTGAGTATCAGGGGGTTCGGTGGCTTATTCCTTCGGGCATGGGCCTTCTTGGAACCCTCATAGAAATTATGCCATTGGCTGGGTAGTAGGATTAGGGTTTAGGGTTTACAGTAGAGCAAAATTGGTAGTTTCCCTGAATAGGGGGAACCCATCTAATTATAGTATGTTCCTTACTATGGGGACCCCGAAAATGGTACTCCCAATTTTGGGAAACCCTCGAATTGTCTTAGTATATTGCTAAAATTTGGCCCGCACACCCCACGTAAAGAGTCCGGGGAGCGGGAATGACCCAAATGGCTTCCAATTCTGGGGTCAAGTGTTGAGCTGAATCCTGGGGACTAGGGTTTAGGGATTTAGGGTTTAGGGATTTAGGGTTTAGAATTTAGGGTTTAGGATTTAGGGTTACCACTTCGGTACGCGGCCCCTTAAGGCTAAGCCAAAAACCCCTGCAACCTGAAGCAGCGTTTCCATCCAGGTCTCGGGTCTGGGGTTTGGGGAGGAAACACCCAGAACCAACAATCCCTCAAGGTCCAAAAAATTAAGCCAAGCCCTGAACCTGAAACCTCCAACTACCCTAAACCCTGCACCATGACTCAAGCACTAAGTCACCAACCATAAAATCTTGGACATTTGGAGATTGCCTAAGACTTGCACGTTGTTTTCGTGGGTCCTTACAAGGAGGATCAAAGTATTTAAGGGTCTGTTTTCGAACTCCCTTTTTACAGCGGCCCCATTCATGTCCAGGCAGTGCTGTTGCTGAGGCTTCTACCGAAGCCAAGGTATGACCAGGTATGCCAAGCAAAGGTGACAAAGGTGTGACTCCTCCTACCAAGAGGGGCCCCTCTTTATAATTTGGGTGATAATGAGGATGACTACGATTGTAGTAAACCTCAACCGTGTAATCCCTAGCCTGTAAATTTTCAGTGTCCCTAAAACGGTCCTCTTTTGGAAGCTCATGGTTTTGGGCTTAGGGATGGGTGAACATGGGTTCAGAGGTTTGGATCTTGCACTTTCCCCGATTGGAAGGTCTAGGGTTTGAGGTTGAGAGAAGACATCTGGGTGGTTGTCAAAATTATGGTCCCTTTTTGGGTCCCTATTATAATACGGCCCCTAATATTTAGGGTACACAAAAAGGGACCATAATTTTGACAACCACCCATCTGACTACTAGAACGGCGGGAAAACAGAGAGACTTTTCAAGGGATAGCAAAAGGGATCCATAGTTACAGGGATTCACTCCCCCAGTCTCCCTTACGCAGCAGCAAGTAAAGCCTAAACTGACTAGCCATAAGAACAGCATCCTGAGTACTTCAGATTTCGTGCGTACCAGATGAGCAAGTTGCTTCTTTAGACGTTTCTGAAAACAGGGAGGGTCTTGAGGGATCATGGGGACATATGAGGATTACATAGAAATTCTCCGTTCCCTGTTAGGGATTCTAGAGGGGGTGTTTTGTCGAATGCCTTGTCAGCGCTGAGCAAAATAGGGGATTACCATTACCGCAACTAATGACAACAACATATGGCAACGTCATCTGATGCACGTGGCCATACGTTGAACTGCGGTTGTGTTGACTAAGTCACTCCTGCCCTTGCCGACGGCATTGAATAAGTGAAAAGAGTGCGGCTATCGGGCGTTCAAGGGTTCCCATTGCCACCGCCAGCCAGCGCCCGCCACCGCAGCCACCGCGCGGCCACTGCCACGACCGCCCCCGCCGCCGCAGCCGCCGCAGACCCCCACCCCCTATCACCGCCACCGTCACCAGCCATTTCTATCACCGCCGCCATGACCACTAACGCACCACAACCGCCGCCGTCGCCACCGCCGCCTCCGCCGCCTCCATCGCCACCGCCACCTCCCCGCCGCCGCTGCAATGCTAACCACATTTTGGGGTGGGACTCCATAACAATTCTTAACAGCCTCAGGAACGTACACGCAACCGTCTCGCGTTCAAGATTTAGGGCTCGGTTTAGGGTTAACAGGAAAATTTGGGATCTGATTTAGGGTTCGGACATCACGTTGTTTGTAGTTCATCTCGTCTATATCCTCCACACGCGCACTACTTAATTACGTACAGATTTCTAGTTCTAAACATCAGGAGTCGAAAGCACGAAGCGCAAACGGTTCAGAGAAAAGTGACCCCAAAAGAGCAAAAGCCAAATCCCTGAGCCTCGAAACAAACAGATTACTTTATACGTAGAGTCCCGTGAAGCTCCTCTCACTTAAGGGGGACCCTAAACCCTAAACCCTATATTCTATCTACTTAAGGAGGACTATACATGTCCGATTAGATCTGAGGAGTCGTTCATCTCTATGCATATTCCATTTGTCGACCCTCTACGAAGTCAAGCGTGACGTCAAAGCTCCACCCCTCTACTACACCCTGAGCCATCTGGGGACTAGGTAGCCCTTCACCCTGAACCTAACCCCAGACCCTACACACTGAACCCTAGCCCCAAACCCTAAATCCTGAACCCTTGCCAGCCCCAAGCCCTGAATCTTAACTCCGAACCTTGGTTTAGGGTTAAGGGTTGAGGGCCCTAAACTCCAGAAGCCTCTCCTTTTGTGAGAGATTGTGGACGGAGGAAATCTTGCACAGCACAAATAATAGTGCTTACAAGTGCCTTGAGTAGTGCAAGATTTCCTCCATCCGCCCTAAGCCGTAAACCCTTTAACCCTATAACCTTAAACCCTACTCCCTGTAACCCTGAACCCTACAACCTTAAAC